GGGCAAGAGATTGACACTCCTGGAAATGTTGGTAATAGTTTGTGGCTTCTCTTTTGTTCTTACAGTCACACATACATGGCAGAATTCAAACACTTATGGCTGTGCATGGCCCCTTCTCATCACCAGTGGAGGACAATTATGGCGGACATATACACTGCATACCCCTAGGGTTGCCAACAGGGCAGCCATCAGGGGGGTACGGCCGATACTCATGTAAGGGGCCCGGGCAGCCTGGAGGGCCCGCCCGGGTCCCTTACATGACTATCGGCCGACGGTGAAGGACGAGGAGGCGGAGGCCCGGCCCTAGCAGAGCAGAGCCCCAGCATTGCCTCTCCAGCGGCTTCGAGACAAGCTGGGGCCCCATCAGCGATGCTGCTCGTCTGATGTCGGACTGGCCGGAAGTGACGTCACGCTAGTGACGTGATGTCACTTCTGGCCGGTCCGGCGGCAGACGAGGCCATATGTGCAGGTAAGAGGAGCTAGGAAGGAAAGGAGGGAGGGGAGGGATGCAGCCCTGACCAGCCCACCTGAGACCCCACCATAGACAGTCTCAGATGGGCTGTGCAGCATCTATGGTGGGCTCTGCAGGGTCACTCTCAGGTGGGTCCTGTGTCCAGCGCGTCACTAAGCCTGTGTCCGTGGGGGGGGCCCGGCCTAAAGCCATGTAAGGGGCCCCAAAATTTCAGATGGCTTCCCTGGTTGCCAACCGGATTCACCAGGACAGTCCGGGTATTGAATCCTGTACGTGCTGTGTCTGGGTTTCAGCTGGCCTGAAACAGCACATACAGGACTCAAAACCTGGACTGTCCAAGTGAATCTGGGACAGGTGGCAACCCTACATACCACCCACTGACCCCGCCATCTAAAAAGGCACCCCGGCGCACATACACGGTGTATGTATAACATATGTCTGTGTATCCTTTTTAGCATTGGATAGACCAGGCAAGGCTGGTAATATTTTTTGCTGCCTATGTGCCATTTAGGAAATTTCTCTTCACTTCCTGTTTAACAGATACAACAGGAAGTGATGGGAAATCCCGTTAGACAGGCGTCACCCAGTAAGATGTCCCCATTGGAAGGTTTCCCTAGGCCTCATTCACGTGGCAGAGGGCTGTATACCGCCACGCGTGTTACCACCGTGCATGGCAACACACCTGCCCTATGTGCGGTGCATGGCACTAAACGCATTGTACAGTGGAGCGAAGCAAAAAACGTTATTAAAAGTTATTTTTAAATAATTTTTTAAGTCATTTTTAGTTTGAACAATTTCCAGGGACCGCCCCTCGAATTCTGGGACACACACTGTGACCCTCAAATGTCCTATTACTCCGTGAATCCGTGCAACGAGGACCTAATAACCAGTTTGATAACACTAGAGCCCAACGCGTCCTCTGGCTCCATTGTCTATCTCGGGAACTGCAGGGGACTGGCCTAGCGGCCATGATTTTGGAGGCCGCGGGCCCTGCGTTTAAAGGCGTGGGACTCCTCCAAAATGTCTTCCGTTATGGGGACAGGTTAGAGTCGCAGTGTATATAAATGTTTCCGCGAGGGAGGGTGGACGTGACGTCATTGGCGTGGTCTGTTCTAGGTACGAGGTGGGTGAGAGGCCTCATGATGGCGGAGTTGTTGTAGATACGGGGTTAGGGCCTCAGGGATTGCTGTGTAGTGACCCTCTCAGTCCTCTCTGGGGGTTCAGGGTTGAGGGCTGCTGTGCTGGGCGGGTTAGGACCACTGCAGTCTTCCAGTCACAGCATGCCGTGCAGGTCTCATTTCTGCAGGAGCAACATTAGGCATGGTCCCTGGAAATGTTTGTCCCTGGAAGGGCCCCCAGAGTACACCTTATAAATCAGTTTTAGGCTTCTTTTAGTTTTTTTGTCCATGGCACCGCCCTGAAAGCGTGTCTGCTCCGCTCCACCATTGTGGGGGAGGAAGCAAAATGGTCTGGGGGGTGGCAGTTGTTTTTCTGATGCCCCCCTCCATGTAATATACCCACCCCCCTCACCTTAACTGAATTTTCCTCCTGGGTAACATCATTTTCCTACCTGTTGATCTGCATTTTTCTCCTGTAGGGAAGGTTTAAGACCTCTCTGGTTTTTTTCTGTGTCCCCTTGGGGAGATTATTCTCCACTTCCTGACCAACACACACAACAGGAAGTGAGGGATCGTCTCTCCATAGTGAGGTAATTGCCTCTTGAATAGTTGTCACCCGTACAGGTGTTCCTGTTAGATTTTTTTTTATCACCCCCTGTTCTGTGACAACCCAAAAATCTTACTTTCTCCAACAGAGACAATGGAGACTAGGGCAAAAAGAGACTCCATTGTGGGTGCACAGACAGCAAAACCAACCTAACGATCATCCTGTCCCACCTTCTCACCCAAAATCTGTGTGGTAGGGTGCTCAGCCAGGGGTGGCACCATGCAGATCTGACGGGAGTTAAGCGGACTGCAATCCTGGCTACTTCTGCTTTAGCAATTAAAACCTGACAGGGGTCTAACCCATCCACATTCTGATCAGAAGGAAAGAAAACGTGCTTCACATAAGATTTAAAGTGACACGAAACTCAGGAGTTAAATCTTAAAAAAACATTCAAGTCCCTGAACAACAATGTCTCTTATTTGTCAAAAAACAGTATATAGAAGAGTGCAACTACCTAAAATACTAAATAAACAGATGGATAGAGGAATGCTGTGCAGCCTGCTATAACTGGCTGAATAGTTGGGATTGTAGTGATAGATGTGTGACTCACAGTTAAGATGTCATCGGTGGGCATCCGAAGTCCCTGCAATCACGTGAGGGTGACGATACTGGTCTGTATACTACCAGTCTGGAGTGTCCAGGGTATCCCCAAAACCGCGTCATCGGCTGGCCAGGCCGAGCCGCTGGAGCGGGAAAAGGAAAACCTTGCCCGGCCGTTGGAATCCGCACTGAAGAGTGTGTATCTGTGCGGTGTACGGCGCGAGCACTGGAGGGTCAGACACACTGTATCCGTCGGTGCTCGTGGGTCCAAGGGAGATGTGCTGTGGGATGAGACACCCCTGTGGGTTGAACTAGCGTCTTATTTGTGTATCACTCGGCTGTAGATCCTCCAATCATCTCTGAATTGGTGCTGACACTGTCCTTCCTTCTGGAGGGGGGCTACTTTTCTTCCCCATGGTCCCTATGTGTGCTGTAAAGTAGTCACCGCTCCAAGCTCGCTCCCGGGATGGACTACAATCTCATGTTCAGTTTTCTCATTTGTATTGAGATTGTAGTCCAGGCAGAGTAGGAGATGGCCACAGAGATTGGGGTGGGGAGGCTCTGGAGAAGTCCTGGAGGCAAACATGGGAGGAGGTGATGACGGAGTGAGGGAGCCAAGAGGTCTTGAGCAGACAGAGGGGTTTGGGAGATATTTTGAGATGAGGTTGGCATAGCTGTAATGGT